GCAGCAGACAATGGCCCACATGGAGGCGGCGGTTCCTCACTCCTCGCTGTGTTCTGGCACAGCCCCGGCCATTGGAGGCATTTGGGGTGTGAACAGGCAGATGGAAGATTTCTCTCTCTCTCTCTCTCTCTCTCTCTCTCTGTCTCTCTCTCATTCTGAAGTTCAAATAAATAAAGAAGAAAGAAAGAAAAGCGGTGTTTGACGAGGGAATGACAGGAAACGAGAGAGGAAGAGGGCATACAGGGAAAGAGAGGCTAGCTAGGGAGTCAGTTGACCTTCAGGACAGGATATGGTGTCTGTGCTGCAGGCATCCAGATCCCGTTGAGAGAAGTGAAATTTAAGTCAGGCCTCTAAAATGAGAATGACACTGGTGAGAATTACACTGAGTAAAGATGAAATGGAAAGCACTCAAGATCAAGAAATGCTACAAGGAGAGACAGGTCTGACTGGGCTACTTTCAGGAATAATTTGTATGTTTGTCATTTCTACCAAGGCCAACGTAGAATATGGAGAGATTCAAAGAGGGAGATTTACAAGTAGAAACCCTTGGGGGCTGGCACTATGGCACAGCAGGTTAAAGCCCTGGCCTGAAGCACCGGCATCCCATATGGGTGCCAGTTCAAGTCCTAGCTGCTCCACTTCTGATCCAGCTCTCTGCTATGGCCTGGGAAAGCAGTGGAAGATGGCCCAAGTGCTTGGCCCCTGCACGCACGTGGGAGACCCAGAGGAGGCTCCTGGCTTGAGATTGTGCAGCTCTGGCCATTGCGGCCATCTAGGGAGTGAACCAGAGGATGAAATACGTCTCTCTCTCTCTCTCTGTCTCTCTCTGTGACTCTGTCTGTCAAATAAATAAAATAAATCTTAAAAAAAAAAAAAAGTAGAAACCTTTAGCAGTGGAGATGTTGATGACTAAGCTGCTAAAAGTCCCAGTGGCAAAGCCTTCCTCTTTTGTCCACTAATCTCATAAGAATAACTCCAGTACTTCCAGCTGCAGGAGGTTCACACTATGATGGAGGAAAAAGGCAGTGATTCAACAAACCACCAAGATCATCCATATGCACAATGGGATGGCTTTTTATAAACGGGACAGTGGACTGTGATAAGAAAGTGACCAGTGGACGTTTAGAATATGGTTAGGACACCTGCCAGTTCCAGTTCCTGACTCCAGCTTCCTGCTAATGTAGACCCTGGGAGGCAGCATTGATGGCTCAGGTAATTTTGTTCCTGCTACCAATGTGGGAGACTTGGATTGAGTTTCTGGTTCCAGGCTATGGCCCCAGCTGTGGCATTTGTGGAGTGAACTAGCAGATGTCTTCTCTCTCTTTGCCTGTCAAATTTAAAAAAGGAAAAAAGAAAGAGAGAGAGAGAGAGAGAGAGAGACTTCTAGGGTGTTTCCCTCTAATGTGCATTTTGAGAGGCAGCAGAAGATGGCTCACATACTTGGGTCCCTGTTACTCATGTGGAAGAATGGGATGGAGTTGCCAGCTTCAAGCTTCAGCCTGGCCTAGCTCTGGCTGTTGTAGGTATTTAGACAGTGAACCAGTAGATGGAAGATCTGTCTGTCTCTCTCTTTGTGCTTCTGCCATTTAAATAATATCAAAATAAAATTTTAAAATGAGAGTGACCAGTTGGATAGGGTGGTCAGGGAGAGCTTCTCTGATGCTAAGCTCAGAATGACGAAGATAGAAAAGCCAACCACCTTGAGCTAAAACAGTGGTCTTGACCAGGGGTGATTTGCTTTCCAATGAGACATTTGGCTATGTATGGAGACATTTTTAGTCTCATCTTTGTATGGAGTCTCATTTTAGTCTCATCAATGCATGGAGACATCTTTAGTTGTCACTTCTTCAGGGAGTGGGTTTGCTACTGACATCTAGTGGGTAGAGGTCTGAGGGGCTGCTGAACATTTGACCATGCACAGGGCTTACTGGTCCACAATGTCAACAGTGGCAAAGACCCCAGAGTGAGAACTAACTGTAAAGTGAGAGGATGAGAGAGAAGGCTGCTGGCAATGGAACATTCTGAAATCTCAGGGGAGTGAAAGCTAACAGGGAGACAGGGAGATGGGGGAGAAACCATCTCACAGTGAGGAGGGGTGGCTGTGAGCAAACCTGGGTGATGGTAGCTGAGAACAATTAACACTGACACCCTCCCCCGCCCCCATGCTGTACTCTATGATTTTAGTTGGAGAAAGTATTTCCTTTAATAACATAAGCAAGGCATTGTTTATGGCTGCTATCCCCAGCTCTCTTTTATTCCAATAACAGAGCAAAATAACAAAATAAAACAAAAATGATTTCAGTACAATTTTCTTCTGAGAGCTTGGACAAAAAAAGAACTTCCAAACAATTGTTCCCTTCATTCTTCAGATCAACACAATTTCTGCGACAAAGAGGAACCCGGGGAACAGAATCTTGTTTAACCTTGTTTAATCCAATGCTCCAGTCTGCTGTCATCTATCTTTATGGCTCTTGCGCCCACCCAAAGTGCTAATGTGGAAAGAAAGACACCTTCCCTACTGAGAATTCAGACGTGATGGATGATGACGTAATGATAGATATGCTGTTGTTGGAATACAGAGCTGTACATGTTAAAACCTCAGTAGGAAGAAGCAAGATTGAACGCAAATATGGCCATTAGCGAGACTGCAGAGAAACATGAAATGATGTGTCTTTCGTGTCATTTGATGTACACATAGGGTCAATGCTTAGTTATCACTCACCTGCATGCAGTGACTAACACTGGTGAACACCTTCAATGTGGAACAAAATGTGAAAGGTGGTAAAGTGGTATTGGCTAAAAAAAAAAAAAAAAAAAAAGCAAGAGTCCTTGGTTTCAAAGACTTTATGTTTTATAGGTAAGATGTTAGATAGTGTGCAGAATAGAATTAAGGGAATGCCAGGAGGAAGCCAGAAACATCGATAGTTTCTTTTGTCTACCATGGATTGCCTTTATTTTAGCAATAGCAACTGTAGAGATCTACCACTCCCTCCCTCTCAGTGCACATGGATTGGATCAGTTGGCCCTCACCCTCATGCCACCAGGAGTGGGCACCTGAGCCAGGCACAGTCTATTAGCAGAGTCTATTCCTCTGGTCACGAGATGGCTCACAATGCTGAGATGCACACATGACCCTTGTTGGTCCAAGGAGAGTCAGCCCTATCCAAGAGATGGCCTAGAGGGCAAGAGACAAGAACTGGAGAAAGGCTAGCTCCTGCTAACATTGCTTCAACCCCTGCATTCAATCACTCCTGAAATCAGATCTCATTTTTTAAAAAGAATTTATATTTACATGTAGTAAAATTCACTGGTGCTTAGTTCTCTAAGTTTTAACACATGCATATCTTCATGTAACTACCACTACAATCAAAATTCAATATTTGCCACACAAAGCTTCCTGTCTCCTGATGCCCCTTTGTCAAGAAAATTCACACCCTTAACTCCTGACAGCTAGATATTTTCTCTAGGAGTGCAGTTATATCTTTTCCAGAATATTAGATACATGGGAACATATAAATGACTGGCCTCTTTCACTTGGGAAAATACCTTTGGACTCCATCCATGTATTATTCCACATATTATTAGTCTTTGCACTACTGAGTAGTATTCCACTGTTTCATTGTACCATAGTTTTTTCATTCTCTCCTTTAAGGGGATTTAGGTTGTTGCTAGCTTGGGAGATTATGAATGTTTACAAACAGAGGTCTGTGTGAACACAGATTTTTCTTTTCACTTGGGTATCTACCTAAAAATGGAATCACTGGGTCATATAGTAAGCACATGTTTAATTTTTTGGGAAACCTCAGGATCATTTTCCAGAGTGGCCATATCATATTAGATTGCCACCAGCAATGAGTAAGTTTCATTTGCTATGCGTCACTGGCAGGCCTTGGTATTGTCAGTCTTTTCTTAAGCCATTTTAACAGGTATGCAAGGGATATGTTATCATGATTTTAGTTTGCATTTCTGTAATGGATTATGATGCTGGACCATTGCTTACGTGTTTATTTGTCATCCATATATCATTTTTGGTGAAGTCTCTGTTCTTATCTTTCCTGCAGTATTGCTGCTTTTCCTACAGTTGTATATGGAAAGTTTTTTAAGTAGTCTAGATAATAAGTTCTTTGTTGGACAAGTTATTTTCTTATTTATTCATTCATTCATTTTTGTTTGAAAGGCAGAGAGGAACAGAGGAAGAGGGAGTGTGTGAGAGATCTTCCATCCACTGGTTCACTCCCCAAATGACTTATTTTTGCACCTTTGGAAAATATTTCTTGGCCAGAGTTATCTAATAGAACTTTCTGCAGTGATGGAAATTTCTTCATCTGTGCTCTCTGATATGGCTGTTGCTAGCCACTGATGGCTACTGAGCCCTTGAAATGTGGCTAATGCAACTAAAGAACTGCATTTTTAATTTTACTTTATTTCTATTAATTTAAACAGCCACATGTGACTTTTGGCCATGACAATTTTGAATTTTTTTTTACATCAGAATTTATACTTCTACATTAGTTTTCAAAAGTTAAACAGGGCTGGCGCCGCGGCTCCATAGGCTAATCCTCTGCCTGCAGCGCCGGCACCCTGGGTTCTAGTTCTGGTCGGGGTGCCGGACTCTGTCTTCCAGTCCAGCTCTCTGCTATGGCCCAAGAGTGCAATGGAGGATGGCCCAAGTTCTTGGGCCCTGCACCTACATGGGAGACCAGGAGAAGTACCTGGCTCCTGGCTTCGGATCAGCGTGGCGCGCCAGCTGCAGTGGCCGTTGGAGGTTGAACCAACGGTAAAGGAAGACCTTTCTCCCTGTCTCTCTCTCTCTCACTGTCCACTCTGCCTGTCAAAAAAAAAAAAAAAGTTAAACAGTACATGACATATTTTGTATATAATACATATATCTTAATTATTCTGTATGACAAACTCTCCATACCAAATATATATAATTTTAATGATAAATCTGTATATGCTATATAATAGGGGAAAAGAAATTGAAACCTCAGTTTTGAGAAAGTCAGATTTATTGCATAGTAATTGAATAAGTTTAGGATGCTTTCAGCAATAAATAACAAATAACATTTCCAATAGTAGCTTAAAAAAGTTGAATTTATTTCCCATATCAGTGGTCTGGATCTCATGGGTGTAATCAAAGATTCAGAATTTTTTCCATATTTCTGATATGCCATTCTCATTGTCATGCCTTTATGCCTCATGGCAATAAGAAGGCTGCAATGACTCTAGCAATACATTTATCTCCAAGTCAGAGAAAGGAAAAAGGAGAGTATCAGCCAAGTGTACCTCTTCCCCAATCTTGTACTTAAAATTTTACTATGGAAAATTGCAAATGGAAAATTCCAAGCATATATCGGAGTAGACAACTAAATATCATGAACTTCATGTACCCATCAAATAACTTCAACAACGACCAACCAGTGGACAAGCCTGCTTCATCTATATCCCTACTGATTTCTCCCACTCCATGGATATTTTGAAGTAATCCCCAGCTATCATTATCATTTCATTTGCAAACATTTTAGAATGTATCTCTCAAAGAAAGATTACTTAGATGGAAACATAATACTTAATATCATCAAATATCTGATAGTCTCATGAACACCATTCTTTCAAAAATACTTTGATTCCAGATTCTCTGCTAATGATTGATATGGATTTAACTTTTTTTAGAGTTTCTTTTTTTTTTTTAAAGATTTATTTATTTATTTGAAAGTCAAAGTTACAGAGAGGCAGAGATAGAGAGATCTTCCATTTGCTGGTTCACTCCCCAAATGGCCACAATGGCCAGAGCTGGGCTGATCCAAAGCCAGGAGCCAGGAGCCAGGAGCTTCTTCTGGGTCTCCACATGAGTTAGGGGCCCAAGAACTTGGGCCATTCTCAACTGCTTTCCCAGGCCATAGTAGAGAGCTGGATGGGAAAATGGAGCAGCCAGTACTAGAACTGGCGCCCACATGGGATGCCAGCAACGCAGGCAGTGGCTTTACTCATTACGCCACAGCGCCAACCTCTAAAATTTTTTTATATTATATAGATTGTATCCGGTTTTCTTTCTTTGAAATACATTCCTTAAGAAGTATGTCTGTTATGTGTGTAAAGTTAATTGAAAATAAGTCTTGGTAAAAAATAAGAATGGGAATAGGAGAGGGAAGAGGCAGAGGGGTGGGATAATGGGTGGGAGGGTGGGTATGGTGGAGTCATTACTATGGTCCTTCCTAAAGTTGTACTTATGAAATGCATGAAATTTGTATTCCTTAAATAAAAGGTTTCTGGGGGAAAAATAAATTAGTTGCCCCCCGCCCCACAAAAGTACATCTGCAGTGTAATTTTCCACAGTGTGACAGTGCCTGATTTAATTGTTATGGACATGTTCCTCTTTCTTTTGTATTTGCTTTAATTATTGATAGTTGGATCTAGCAGCCTGATCAAATTCACATTCAAATTTTTGGAAGATTAGAGGTAGTGCTGTGGTCTTTCCTCAGGAGGCAGACATCTGCCAACCCCTTTATTTATTTATTTTTTTAATTTATTTTATTTATTTGAAAGAGAGTTACAGAGAGAGGTAGAGACAGAGAGAGAGGTCTTCCATCTGCTGGTTCACTTCCCAGATGGCTGCAATGGCTGGAGCTGCGCCGATCCGAGGCCAGGAACCAGGAGCTTTTTCTGGGTCTTCCGAAGTGGGTGCAGGGGCTCAAGCACTTAGGCCATCTTCTACTGCTATCCCAGGCCATAGCAGAGAGCTGGATCGGAAGAGGAGTAGTCGGGACTAGAATCAGTGCCCATATTGGATGCCAGTGCTTCAGACCACAGCAGTGGCCCTTGCTAACCCCTTTACAAGCAAGCTTTCTACAAGCATCCAAGCTACCAGTCTTCTGCTTCAGTCTTATTGGCTAGAATTAAATCATGTGACTATTGCTGGTTGCAAAGGTGGATGGAAAATCACACATAAAATAAGTGGGATTGAGGCTGGGATAAAGCAGTATTCTCTTAGCCAGGACAAAGGAGCAAGAGGTATAACATGAACAGTGAATATTGTTTGCTGTTGAAGTTTAACAAAAACTCACAATCAATACAAGTAGTAAATGTTTTTGTAAACATTTTATGAGTACCAGTAATATTTATAAATACATATTGATTAAATATTAAAAAGAGAATAATTAAGGTTAATGATAACCTTCTGCTACTTGCATTTGTTATATTCCAAGCTAGTCCACCTGGATATGGTGGCATGTGGCTAGTACAATAAAAATGGCTGCTTCCAGTTAATTTTTCTTAAAACAACTTGATCTTCTAAAAGGATCCCTGAGCTGCTGAGCATCCACTTGTTTGATATGCTGAAAGGAATATGTTTCTTGGGCTTTTGAGAATTCTCTAATGAGTACTGGCTAAGCAATGAACCTTATATTTTCACACAAGAATAAGAATTAAGTGGGTTTACTGTAAATTTGAAGGAGCTATAATTTGACTCTCTGACTAAATGTTCTCTGTTCACAGAAATTTCATGGCATTTATCGAGGCAGCAAGACTTCTAAAATTTTTTTTTAAATCTTTTATTTATTTATTCAAAAGGCACAGTTACAGAAAGGCAGGGGTGGGGGAGAGAGAGAGAGAGAGAGAGAGATGTCTTCCATCCTCTGGTTTACTCCCCAGATGGCCTCAGTGGCTGGAGCTGCACCAATCCCAAGCCAGGAGTCAGGAGCTTCCTCCTGGTCTCCCACATGGGTGCCAGGGCCCAAGGACTTGTGCCATCCTACACTGCTTTCCCAGGCCATAACATAGAGCTGGAGCAGCCAGGACTCCACATAGAAGTGGAGCAGCCAGGACTCGAACTGGCGCCCATATGGAATGCCAGCACTGCAGGTGGCAGCTTTACCCGCTATGCCACAGTGCTGGTCCCAGGACTTCTAAAATATTTTCAAATACATGTTTCTGTTTAAAAATTTTCATTGTAGAAAAGTCCAGAAGTATAAGAAATGTGAGTAGACATCCATTCCAGCAGTTAGGATGTCCATGTCCCACACTGGCTCCGGCTCCTCACTCCAGCTTGTTGCTGATGGAGGATCTGAGAGGGAGCAATGCCAGCTGGAATGACTGAGTTCGTGCCACCCATGTGGGAGACCTGGGTTGTGTTCCCAGCTTTCAGCTCTGGCTCCATGCCAGCCTTTGCCACTGCAGGCATTTGGGGAGTGAGCCAGTGCATGGGAACTCTCTCTCTCTCTCCTTGAAGAAAATAAATAAAAATTTGAAATCATAAAAATACGTGAAGAGAAAACATATCACTGGCAATTTACCTACCTGGGATGATCACCGTTAATGTTAAGGTATATTTCCTTCTAATCATTTAAATATGCATATGGATTTTTTATAAAGTTGAGCTAAGAGTATATATTTAAATTTATGTGTTGGTGTTTACACTTCAAACTAAGGTCAGTATTTTCTCCACATTTTTATACACATTGTTTTAATATCTATAAAGTAACCTACTATGTTGATACTAGGTTTTCCAACCTATTGTTGCATATTTATAATTTGCTATTATAAATACTATTGCAAGGAACAGCTTCATAAATATTTGAGGGATTTCCATTTCTGATTCTCTGTTTTAAGAGAGAACTAAAAGTTTAATTTCTAGATGAAAACATACCAAGATTTTTGGATACATTTTGGTTTTTAGAACATTTATACCAATTCTTATTTCACTTGTAGCCAACGAGTAACCATTTCACTACATGTTCACTAGCATTCAATATTATCAATGAATATTTCACGTATGGATTTTTTCCTTTTATTTCTTTAGTTTGATTTTTTAGCGGTTATGTAGCAGAAACATTATATATGTGGGAAAACAGCCATTTCAGGAAAATTTAGGAGGCTCTTAATAACACAGAAAATCTTAAGAGAAAATCTAAATCTATTGCTTTCAAATTCATGTTTTTATGAGTTCCCCTTATTTTCTGCAATAGGGGAGAGCATTATTATGGTAATATGAAAAACATTTCAGGTTTTAACAATTTAAAAATGATCATGAATGGCAGTATAATGTTCCACTGGATGGCTATATAATACATATATATATAATTTTATAAATGATCCCAAATAGACGATCTATTTTTCCTATCTGAAAGCCAAAGAAAGATACACACACACAGACACACAAAGATTTTCCATCAACTAGTTCGCTCCCCAAATGCCAGCGAAGATAGAGTTTGGCTGGTGCTGGGGTCAGGGGCAGGAACTCAATCTGGTTCTCTCATGTGCGTGGCAAGGACCCAGGGACTAATGCTCCCTCCCAGGGTATGAGAGACTGGAACTGAGAGCAGAGCAGAGATGCAAACTCAGCCAGTCTGAAATGGGATGCTGGTGTTACAAGGTGAATCTTAACCACTGAGCCATGTCCTTGTTCCAGGCTTCACATAAAGTGGTGATGCTGCTATGGTTTGGGTGTGGTTTGAGCCTGCTGCATGGGTCTATTATAATTGAAGGTTTGGTCTGCACTGTGGTAGTTGATGGGTCACTGGAAGCACCTCCGGGAGGTAGTTCTCGTGTAACCCCTTGAGTTCTTGGGAGAAAGTTGTTCTAAAAAGAGCAAGCCAGGCCCTACCCAGTTTCCTGATTCCCAATCCTGTTGGCTTACTCCTACAGCAGTTGTGCAGCCCACCCTTACTACGAGGTCCTTCCCAGATCTCAGCTGATGCCATTGCCATGCCTTTGGACTCCAAAATTGTGAACTGAATAAACCTCTCCTTTACAAATAGCCTGTGTCAAGTGTTTCATTACAGTGATGAAAAGCTGACCAATCCAAATAGTAATAGGTCCCACTTTAGAGTGCTGTGCCAAGGAGGAAACAAAATTGTAGCTACTTTCTTCTGCCTACCACTATCCTTTGTCCTTGGAAGTTGTGGACAATCAGGATTGAGTCCTGCCTCTACCTCCAGGTTGGCCAAATCTAGGACCCTAGTCCAGGCAAGGGTGTAAGATCAATTGGAAGACATTCTTGGGAATCCTTATGGATAACAGGAGAGAACAGCAGGGAGGGAAGCTAAAGCCAAGGAGAGCAGAGCCGTGGGAGGGTCAGAGTGAATGTGGAGCCACTGTTGGAGCTGCTAAATCCAGCCTTACCTGGAGCCTTCAACTTCCCACCAGCGAGATGAGTCAGCAACTTCCTTTCTTTGTTCTAGTTGGTTCATTTTGGGCCTTATCAGTCATAATTGCTATGATTACTTAATCCTTTTTAAGTAGCGCATTAACTAGCACAACCACGTAGTCATTCTTTGCAGCCACTTGGATAGCACGTTTTATGTTACAACAAATATTATTGTTAAAGGATTTTGAAGTTTTTCTTTGTTGCATTTTTTAAAGAATCAACTTGCTTTGTTAAGGCTTTATTTTCCCCTAAAATAAACACTGCCCCAAAATTTAACTTCAGGATGTTAAAAATGGGCTTGTTGTTGGTGTTGTTTTCTAAGCCATTCTTGGACAGAGTGAAAACCATCTAGGGGAAAAAGTTAACAGGCTCTGTTCTACTGTCCTAGCACCACTGTAACAATGCACCTCAACCATTTATTGTCCAAAATCAAAGTGTCAGCAGAGCGATGCTCCCTCCACATCCTGTAGGGAAATTCCTTGCCCGTTCCTAGCCTCAGATGGTAGCCAGCAGTCTTTGGGATTCCTTGACTGTGGATTTCTTCATTCTAATCACAGGGCTGTTTTTTTTCTGTGTCTTCTTCTCCTCTTCCTAGGGTGTGCGTTTCTGTGTCCAGATGTCCCCTGTTTGTAATGACAACCATCATATTAGTTTAGAGCCTACACTAATGACCTTATTTTAACATGATTACCTCTGCAAAAGCCCTATTTCCAAGTAAAGCCATGTTCTTAAGTACTAAGGGTTAAGACTTCAACCTATCTTTTTGCAATATAGCTTTGACAATTCAACCATTTTAAAAATGGTTTTAAGTTTCAAAAAAAAATGTATTTATGTATTTGGGAGACAGAGCTCTCCTATATACTGGTTCACTTCCCAAGAGGCCAGCAGTGAGCTGGGCCGAGGCTGGGAGCTAGGAACTCAATCCAAGTCTCTCATGTTGGTGTCCAGAGCCCAGTGATGTGAGCCATCACCCACTGTCTCCCACCATCTGCACAGTGGGAAGCTGCAGTCAGAGCTTGATTGAGGCTTTGAACCTAGGTTCACCAACACGGGACATGGCCATCTTAATTGCTAGGCTCCACACGTGCCTGACAATTTAGTTTTAACAGTAGATGAAATGGATTATTTCCAAAGAAGGCCACAATTCCTTCCTTCCCTAAATACATTTCCCTTTGCTGTGTAACTTTGCAGCTCTTCCCATCATGCTTTGGAGTATTTCTACCTCCTCTTGAATCTGGCTTGACCTTATGACTTGTGCTGACCAATAAAATGCAGTGGAAGTGATGTCATCCAACTGCTAAGATGAAGTCTTAAGATGCCTTCCGGGTTTCACTGTCACTGTCCCACTATCCTGACATCTTTTTGTGAGTAAGACCGAGACAGTCTGTTGCACAGGTCAGTACATGAGGACTGACTTGTCCACGTCAACAGCCAGCACGAATTTGCCAAACAGCTGCCTGATGTCGTCTGAGGCCATGCATCTTCAGACAAGACCAGCAGAACTGCCCAGCTGAGCCCAGCCCCAAACAGGAACAAATAAAACAGTGGTTGTTTCAAACTACTAACTGTTGGAATAACGTGCTACACAACATAAACGATTGCTATAGGGGATCTGGGGTCAGAAGCTTGCATTTTTGTTGTTTAACATAGAGCTGCTCAGCTACATCACTCAATTATGTCAGTCACCTTGCTAGGTCGATTTAATTCTAACAGCTCCTGTTTCTTTCTTTATACAACATGGATGATTTACTTATTCGTCACCATTGGTTCCAGGTTTCAAGTTTCAAAAAATAAAACCCGTCTCAAAGGGCACAAGGAGGAAGAGGAATTTATCAGTTCAAGTAACTGAAAACCCAGCGTTTGGTCTGGCTTAGATACCATAGATTTGGTAGCCCTATCTCTCCATTCTACTTTCCTTCATGTGCCATATTCCAGGTTCAAGCCAAAGGGGCTCTTTCTGTATTTCAAGGCTTAAGTTCATTCAGTCTGGCAAACCCAAGAGCAAGTTCGATTCTCACTGGGTCTAACCAGAAACACACAGCAGTCCTAAGCCAGTCAGACCAGGGGCATGGAATGCTCCCAATGGCCAGGGCTGGGGCATGTGCCCACTGCTGAGCCATGGAGGTGGACAGGTACAGGGGAGAGGTGTGCAGAGAACAGATTAGGCTCAGCAAGACCGTGTGGGGAGACTAGTGTAAAGGAACCCTAGGCCCCACTGTGAGAAGAAATGGAGGCTGAGCAGGTAGAAAATAACAGATGTTCATTCCCTATCACATAGCTGGGTACACAGATAACAGTAATGGCTTACATTTGCCAAATACTTATTAGGTGCCTGGCACTGCTTAAAGTACTTTATGTATATTAATTCCTTTTCATCCTCTCAATTTAGGAGGAGGAGCAGTTATTATTCCCTCTTTACAAACGAGGAAGCCCAGGCACAGAGTGGTTAACTTGCCTACCTATGGTCATGCATACAGAAGTAACATCAGAACCCAACAGAACAGCTTCAGAGTTCCTTCCTTCAACCACCAATGTATCTACACGGCGCTGAACTCAGGGTTAGTGTTTCTGACTTTATGATGGTGCAAACACGGTATGCATTTTGCAGCAATGGGACTTCAGTTTCTGCGCGTGGATCTTTTTGCTGGCTAGCAATGTGCTGTCGGGTATTCTCTTGCAATGCTGGGCAGTGACAGTAAGGCAGCTGTCAGTCAACTCTGATCATCAGGGGAAATCACCCATACCCTGCAATGGGCTGTGTTGCTTGACTCTGAAGTCTCATAGGTTAGGGATATGAAATGTATTTTTCACTTATGATATTTTCTGTTTATGATGGATTTATTGGGGCACAACTCTATGGAAAGCTGAGGAAGATCTGTGCTCAAAATAGGTGACCAGCATATAGCAGGCAGAATTCTAGAATGTTCTTTGAGATTCCCTCTGCCTGGTGTGTAATCCCTCCTTCTTGAGAATGACTATGACCTGCGAATGTGAGGGAGAGTCACTCTCTTGATAGGTCAACTTGTATAGCCAAAGTGATTGTCTTTCCCAAGACTTCTTCATAGCCACGTGTGGGGTTCTCTTGCTGGCTTGGAAGAAGCCGCGCACCCCTGGGAGCAACTCTTGCCAATAGCTAGCGAGGAATCAGGGATGCAGGTCGTACGACCACAAGGAACTGAGTTGGGGCCATCATATGAAAGAGAGTGGCAGTGGAACCCCAGCTCCAGATGATGCAGCATGGCCTACACCTTGATGTCAGCAGGAGGATACGGGGAGCAGAGGACTCAGGAAGGTGTGCCCAGCCCTCTGAGCGCCAGAACTGGGAGAAGGTAAGTGTGTGTTGTTTTAAGCTTCTCTTTGTTGCTTTCTCTTCTTCCCACCAGGGCTGCGGGCCCCTCCCCTTGTCCACCCCTCGGCTGGCTGTGTCCAGCTGCAGGGGAGGGTTGTATGCACAGGCAGGGGCTCGCTGGAGCTGCTGCTAGGTGACTCCTGTGCTGCCAGCCCTTGAAACGGTGTCTGGTGGTTTGCGCTGTAATTGGTTGTAGAATCAATGAAAACGATCTGCCTGGTATGCCTGTAAAATTCTTTTATAGGAACTGGTAGGGGAAGGGCTGGGGTAAATTTCACACTGGGGGCCCTACAAGAATCACCAGCGGAGACCTATTTTGCTGTGAAAAGGTAGCACAGGTCGGAGTCTCCTGCACGGAGCCCATGTGAAGTTTGCCTAACACTAAAGCTCTTTCATTCCATTCCACATTTCAGCCTCTTCTCAAACCATCTCCCCTCCTTTGCCTGTTTTTCACAGCACAGGAAGCCAAGGCGCCAGGGTTCAGAATCTGAGCTCTGCTACTCAGTAGCTGGGAAGCCCTCATTTTACTCCCCTGGGCATGGGGAAAATAATTCTTAACAACTCGAATGATTGTGGAGACTCCCCAAGAGGTTGCAGCATGCACTTCAGGAGGTAGGTTCCCCAAAGACCACTAGGGTCTTGCTCTTTGGGTTCACGGCGGCTGTGTTCCCAGTATGCTGCAGTGCACACGGTGGGTGCCCAACGCTTCACGGGCTGAACTCAAAAATGGCTTATGGAAAAACAACAACATCAACAACAAAACCACCCCAGCGCAGGGTCTGCTGCATCCCACAAAGGGCAGCTTTTCCTACCTCCATTTTACCGAGGCCGGAACTCACCTGAGGATGCTGACCCACGTGTTGGGCAAGTTCCACTGATTGTTGCCATTTTATTAATGTCTAAGAAGGTCGTCGGGCCCTCTGGGGTCATTCTAACCTGTCTCTCAGCTCCTCGCGGCGCATGAACAGTCGGTTAAGAGAACACTTCCAAGAAAACCGGTCCTCGCAGGCATTTGTGAGGGAGCGGCGATTTTTAACAAAACCAGGAAGCACCAAATTCCAAAGCAAACAAACTCGCCTCGCTCCCCACCCTGGGGGAGGGTGTTCACCCCCGTCCCCGCTAAAGATAGAGCCCGGGCCCTCCCCGGGAACTTCCTGGCTTTTATTAGTTTGTAACTTTTCAAAGGTTTTTCTTTTGGAAGTGTGGGTGTGAAACTGCTTCCCTAATCACATCTTGCCGGAGGATCTCCGAACATCTGTATAGCTTTCGAGAACCTGGCGTCCGGGTGGGATGTTCGCGTGGGTGTGGGACCCTGCCGGGGTGGGAGCCGCCAAAAACGTGTCAAGATCGCATCTGCACGGAGATATTAGGCAAAAATTACAAATGGCTAATTACCTTGGCTCAGTTACACACTTCATCAAAGGGCCGCCTCCTCCACTTGGCGCACCCGGGGCGACAGGGGGAAAACGGGGCGCTCCGAAGCCTAAGCGATAGAGATCTCTCGGAGCGCCAGGGGACGAGACTTCACGGCGGATAAGCCCGCTCCCTCCCCGACCGCCGGACGCCTCTGCCCGCTTGCTACAGCAGCAGCGGCTCGTTGGGTAGCGGCCAGATCAGCTCTGCCCCGCGGCGCTGCTCTCACCCGGCTCCGGGCCAGGGACGCACTTCCAGCAGCCAGCCCGGGGCGCGGGGACCGTCTCCCGCGGAGTTGCGAGTTGGGAGAACTCAAGCCACCGATCCGCCGTGTGGAGCTCTAGAGAGCTGGTTTTTGCAAGCCCGGGATCGATCTCAGTCCCCTCCCCCTTCTCCCCAGCTGCGGACTCGGCCAATGGAAGCCCGAAAAGGGGTGGGAGTGGGGGTGGGAATCAAATCCCAACGTAACCTGAGTGCAAAGGCCGCTGGCTCGGCTTTGTTTCCAAGCCCGGGTATGCGCTGGGCTGGGGGCGCGAGCAGGGGGCGCGAGCGGTGCGCCCCGCCGCGGCGCTGCCAAGGCGGTGGAGCAGAACAGGAAACACTCCGGCACTAAAAAGGCGGCTGGCTGGCCCACCTTCTATCCCCAGGCCCAGGCTAGGGGTTGGTCCCCCCAAGTCCCAGATCCCCAAGCTCCGTGGTCTCGGGATCTAGCGCGCGGCGTCTTTAAGATCTCGCAACACGGCAATCTGGCAAAGACACTCTGGCTTCTCTAGAAGGCAGCCTCCTCCCTCTCTGCAAAACCGGGCGGGCGTCGTCCCCAGTCCCCCTAAGCGCCCCCTGTAAGAGCCTGCATTCCCCGGGGCCCCGCGGCCACCGCGGAGCTGCGGGACCCCTCGGAGGCGGGAGGCGAGCGTGGTTGCTTTAAGAGCGCGGGGCGCGCGCCCGCCGCCGCCTGCTCAGGATTGCGCGCCCCCGCCGCCGCGCGCCCCCGCCGCCAGCGCCGCTGCGCGCCCCCTGCTCGCTCGTTCGTTCGCTCGCTCGCTCGCCGGCTTTAAAGTCTCTGCCAGGATCCATGCTCACATGTTACTTCCTGTATGGAGGCATGGCCAGTTTCCAGCCCCGCGCTCCCCGTTCCTCCTCAGCCTGCGCCGGAGCCACAACTTTCAGGAGCATGGACTGAAGGCGCCCTCGCCCCAGCGCCCCTCTGAGATCCTTTGTGGTTTCCTCGGTTTCCTCCGGCCGTTTCTATTTTGGGGGGCTGCTCGCTCCTCCCGCCGCTCCCCTCCCCTTCCCCGCTCGCAAACATGCCTCCTTCCTTCCCGGGGCCCTGGAAGGAGCTGCCTGCCTGAAGCCCGGAGACGCCGCGCCGCGCCTCAGCCCCGCCGCCGCCCGCCGGCTCTCGGCTCTCAACTTGGGGATCCTCGCCGCTCGCCGCCGCCGCCTGCGGTCCCTGCCTGCCCCGCGCCCGGGGCATCGCCGCCGCCGCCGCCCGCCGCCTCTTCGCCCTGCCTGCTCGGCTCGCGCCTTTCTGAACGGAACGCAGCCCGTCTCCGCCGAGAGGAGCGTCCCCAGCGAGGCTCCGCGTTCGCGGTCACTTTTTGAGATTTTCCGGGGGGCGCTCGGTGGCTTCCCGGATTCCAGGGGGACTCGGGCCGCCGAGCGCGGGGGGCCCGTGGAGCGGGCGAGCCGGAGAAGCGCCCAGGCTTAGCGGAGGCTCGTACCGAAGCGAGAACTTACTCAACAAGTTTATCCCCCCCTGCTTTCGTCTTTTCGATGTGCGTTTTCGGACATGCGGAGGTTACTGGAACCGTGTTGGTGGATTTTGTTCCTGAAAATCACCAGTTCCGTGCTCCATTATGTCGTGTGCTTCCCCGGTGAGTGCCGGCCTCGGAGGGGACGCGGCCCCAGCCGGCGCGCGCGGGGGGATGCGGAGTTGTCGCCGGGGCGCGGAGCTCGGGCGCCGGTGCTGGGGACCCCGGCGGGGGTGGCGGGGAACCGGGTGCCCAGGACCGAGAGAGACCTGTTCCGCCAGCCCTGGCGATGTTTAGGGAGGCTGGTTGGTTGTCGGGGAGGGTGGAGACGGGGACCGCCCGGGGAGGAGAAGTAGGTACCCGGGATTCTCTTGCTCCAGCTTGGGTTTGGGGGTGCCGTGGGGGAGCCAGAGTAGGGAGAAGAGGGGACTTGCTTTGCTGATCCGCGGCCAATCGGGAGAGGTAGAGTTGGGGGGCCGTTGGGGAGACTGAGGCCGTGGGAGGATGCCTCTGTGGGCTTGGGGGGAGTCTGGGGTGTGCTCCTCTCTCCGGTAGGGATCGAAAGAGGTCAGAAAGAGGGGCCTCGCTTTGCTGATCTCTGACCCTTGGGGAGGACTGGTATTTGGTATGGAAGCCGGAGGCTGACGGCGGAGGATTGAGGGTGTGGGGAATGTTGGGAGCAGCCTGCATTTTGCTCTCGGGGGTGGGCCCCCCTCCAACCCCCTGCTGGGGGCGTGGGGCTGCCCTTGGCTGCCTGCGGGAGGCAGACTGCCTGGGCGCAGTGGGAGGACCGGGAGCGAGCGGTTTAGGGAGATGCAGGCTCCCTCAGGCCCCTTTCCTCCGCCGCTCTGCTCCCTCTGCTCCGCGGGGCCGCGGGGGTCGGGGCGCAGGGGGCGGGCCGGCGGCTGGGTTGCTGTTCGCGCCGGGGCGGATTTCTCCCCGTCTCGCGCGCCCTGCCTACCTGCATCTCTGCCTTTTGCAGGCTGTTCACGGATGGCAGACCCAGACCTGCTCCCTTCTGGCCAGGTTGAGACAGGAACAATATTGGCCATTGATGACGATAATAAATCACTGCACGTAGAGGTGTGCGGCTCGGCGACCCTCCACTTGCAGCTCTGAGCCGGCCGACGCCTCCTTCCCTCCCGAAGGGCAGTGGCCAGCCGCCTCCCTCTCTCTTGCAGGGTCCCCAGGTCTCCCTAGAAGCTGTCCGGCCCCCTCTCTGGGGATGGAGGCCACGTCCTCTGCCCTGGAGTGGGGATACGGATGAGAGGGAAGGAGATGTTCGCTTTCACCTCTCCATCTCCTGAGGACGGACAATCCCCCGTTTGTGTGCCCTCTCATCCGCCCGCTCCCGGATACATATAGGTGTCCGTTATCTGAATCAGGAGAAAGAGGAACGTGCTCCGTTATTTCCGCTGTGCCCAGTTCCAGCCGCCTGTCCTCGGGCGGCTGGAGCGCCGGGCTTTGGTGCAGCGGATCGCTCAGCCCCGTCGTGCACCCTGGAGCAGGGCGCGGGCGTCTTCGCTGCCCCCATACGGACCCGCTCAGGGGAGAGACTGGCAGCAAGTGCCCCCTTTGCACGCCCGGGAGTAGCCTAGAGGGGCGCAGAGGCAGAGAAAGCCCTGTCTTTCCTTGGGCACCCCTGTTTCTCTGTGCGCATCCCCCTGTCCCCGGAGCCGCACAGAGCTCCTGCCACAGTTCAGAAACCCAGGCAGAGACTGAACGGGGACGTGCGTCCACACTAACACGGAGGCCGGAGACATGCCCGGCCGGGGCCAGCGCCCACGGGAGTGGGATCGCTGTCTCTCCCTGTTCCTTGAAGACTGCTCAGTATCTGTATTAACCATCTCCGCTGCTAGACTCCCCCTCTCGGCCGCGAACTTGCCGCCTGAGTGGGCTCAGATGCACTCAGGGTCGAGCTTTGCTATGGCCCTGCCTTAACGGGGTCACGGGAGGTAGCGGAGGGCAACCCTGGGAAATGGGAGGCATTGCCATGGCCATTTCTGGCTTTCTTCAGCGTGGGGATGCAGTCAGTGGGCCCACCGTGATGTTCGTGTTCCTGGTAGCCGAGGAAGCTTGCGATCCAAAATGGGATCGCCAGGGATGCCGCCTGCTTGGGGCTTGGACCATTTTCGCCTTTCTCATTTTCTTTTCGTGCCCACGCTGCGAGGTAAATAGCCCGTTCCCTCATCCGGGAGCCCAGTGGTATGGGAGAGGGAAGGCGCAGCCTTGGGAGGCGCGGGGGGCGGGGGGGATGGGGGAGGACGGGAGGGGGGAGCGGGGTTTGATTTGGAAAAGTGCGGCCTGAGGGGATGTAGCAGCTTTTGAAGCCAGCAAAGTTCAGATGTCACACTGCTGGGAGAGCTGGCATTCTCCCCCCCCCTCCCCAACACCCCGAGGTGCCGTGGCACCGCTGGACTTCAGGGGGCGCCTCTGAGCCACTGGTCGGGCTACTGCCACCTCCTGGGGCTGGCCTCGGCCATCTCCACGCCTCAGGAATGGGGTGCGCGCGCCCAGGTTTTGAGGCACTGAGGGCTGCAGATGCATCTGGGCGCGAGGAGGTGGCTTTGGTTCCGGGCTGCTGCTCGTGGCCGGCTTGAAACCCGGTGGGGGCTGCGGTTCACTTTGAAACCCCCACTTTCTGCCTTCCAGAACCTAGGAAGCGTTTATGTGTTTGACACACGGGATAAAAACGTTCCTGATTTTGGATTAGGGTCCTTGTGAGATGTTGATCCAAATCCCTTGTTACTTATTTTGGAATGGTACCAACTTTGCATTTGTGTTTGCATTTGAGTTCTCTGCCCAGGGTACAAGGTAGCTGTAGTGTGGGGAGCCTTTTGGAAGCACAGCCCTGGCTTGGGTCTTTTCCCAGCGGATAGGAAACAGTAGTGGCCTTTAATCTTTCAACAGCAGCGTGGCAGGTGTGGGACCAGGGTCACAGTTAGTGCTTCCACTGATGCTTTCCAAGTGCACAGCGGAAGTATCATCAGACATGATATTAGGCAAGTTACCTTCTCCTGCATCTTTTTTTTTTATTTTATTTTTTTTTTTTATTTTTTTGACAGGCAGAGTGGACAGTGAGAGAGAGAGACAGAGAGAAAGGTCTTCCTTTGCCGTTGGTTCACCCTCCAATGGCCGCCGCGGACTGCGCGCTGCGGCCGGCGCACCGCGCTGATCCGATGGCAGGAGCCAGGAGCCAGGTGCTTTTCCTGGTCTCCCATGGGGTGCAGGGCCCAAGCACCTGGGCCATCCTCCACTGCACTCCCTGGCCACAGCAGAGGGCTGGCCTGGAAGAGGGGCAACCGGGACAGAATCCGGCGCCCCGACCGGGACTAGAACCCGGTGTGCCGGCGCCGCTAGGCGGAGGATTAGCCTAGTGAGCCGCGGCGCCGGCCCTTCTCCTGCATCTTTTAAAATACATAAAAAGAAAAAAAAAAAACGTGATGGACCCCTATAGACACAACCCCCCCCCCCCCCAGCTTCCACAATTCCCAGCTTTTTGTTCCTCTGTGTCTGCAGCCTCGCTGGCACCTTATTACTGTATTATTACAATTTTTTATTAATTTATTTATTTTTTAATCTGAGAGGTGGAGTTACAGACAGACAGGGAGAGACAGAGAAAGGTCTTCCACCTGCTGGTTTACTCCCAAATGCCCCCAACGGGCAGAGCTGAGCTGATCTGAAGCCAGGAGCCACGAACTTCTTCTGGATCTCCCACATGGATGCAGGGGCTCAAGCACTCGGGCCGTCTTCTACTGCTTTCCCTGGCCCTAGCAGAGAGCTGGATCTGAAATGGAGCAGCCAGGGCACGAACTGGCACCCATATGGGATGCTGGTGCTGCAGGTGGAGGCTTAATACACTATGCCCTAGTGCCGGCCCCTCCTTTATTTTATAACAAATCCTACATACAGCTCTTTTTTGATATTTGAAACATATCCCCATTCATTGGGAATTTAATCGCTTCTGACAGATATAAAATGTTACTTGCGAGGGTTAACCTTTTATCTATTTTACATTCCCTAGCTATTGAGAGCAAACTTTTTTTTTTTATTATTGATTTCTTCTCCCTTGGCCCTCAGAGTGAAATTCTTCTCTTTGTTTCTGATCTGTTTTGAGCCATAATTATGTTACAGCTAGGACGCTGCCGCTGGAAGCCCTACTGACGGTTAAGACCGGCTGTGTACTTGGGATGTGTCAACGTTGGCGGGTCCATGATTGATGGCTGGTGAATCGTGAATTCCTCTCTAAGCCCCCTTCTACCTCTGTGTGCATGCTTTGTCCCCGTGGGCATCCCTTAAGGCCTCCTTTGTAGTAGAAGGCAAGAGTAATATTTGGAAGTCAGCCATCTGACTCTTAGGAAAGGGGTGAGAGATCATACAGGTTTGTTTTTTTGTTTTGCCCCCTTCACATGTCTTGTTTGAAAATGCAGACTCTTTATCCGGTCTCTAAACTGGGTTCCTGTGCCACAGTTAGTGGATAAAATCTGCAGTGTTTCCTGGCAGACAGTGGACACATGACGGGTGGGGAAGTTAGAACGTGAATACAAATATGCATACGGGAACTTTCGGAACTGGGGACTTGCGCTTGCTGCAGGTAGAAAGGTCACGGGAAGGCTGGCCAATATGAGAAGAGGGACTATGCCACGGTGAGCCTTTGCATCTCTCACCTTCATTATGGACCTGTTTCCACTGAATAAAAGAGGATGTTGTTTACCTGGAATGATCCAGGGAATGCTAAAGATTATGTAATGCAACAAAAGAAAATGAAAGCCTTTTTAGATTTACCTTTAGAGTGAAAACTCCATGTTAACAGCATAATCGCTTACAGCCTGGCACCGGTGGAAAGGCACTGTCTTCTTGCAATGGATCTCTTTACAATGTTCTCCAGCACTTCCTATAACGGAATCCCTTTTGTCCCTTTACTGGAAACTTCTTAAAGAGATGGTGTGGGTGCTTAAATGAGCTTTTCCTAGGTGAAGAAAACATGAAGGCTGGCTAGAGGGTGTTGGCTTAATGCTTTCCCTTGACAGTGGAAGGTGGTTGTTTTGTTGTTTATTTGTGTTTAGTTTTCTTTGAAAGAGAGAGGAAGGAAGGAAGGAGGGAGAGAGGAAAGGAAGGGAGGA